TACAATAATAAGAATAATAGTTTGGTTTGTCGTGTATCACATTATGATCAACGACCTTATACAGATACAATTTGCAAAAAAAGACTTATGAAAATTTGAAGTTTACGGGTTACATTGATAGAACTACCATCTAAATTATATAGAGGTGTTTGTTGGTATGCAAGGGGTAATCTATTGAACTATCAGTCGAATTTGAAAAAATATTTTTGACAAGTGTGCCCGCGACTTATTTCGCGTGGAATAAGTACTTTTGCTATTCTAAGTAATTATGTTTTTTTTAAACCGTCGCGAAGACTTAGAAAGACAATAATCTGAATAAAAACATTCAGTTAGTTAACCGACTAACAAACTGATCAGAGAAACAAACGAACAAAGAAATAAACGGACACACAAACGAACCAAGAAACGAATAGGGGAAAGTATACGCTTGTGTTTTATTTTGTAAATAAAGAAACAAAATGATCGCAATAACGTAATCCTTAATTTGCCCCCGAATTTCTCCTGCCAATACTTGAGATTCTATACAACAAATAAGAAATTGCCCTAAATAAGCAAACAAAAAAAAAAAAAAAAAAAAAAATATATATAAAAACCATAGTTCTGAGTCACCTCAGTTTATTCACTTGCTGCATGTTTCATCAGGTTATCATTCCATCTATGATCGCAGAGCATTCTGCTTGCCATTATAAGACTACTCCTTAAAAATCTCTCTTTTCCATCAATTGTCTGCTTATTCAGTTAGCAGCTTCGGTAGCCTACTTATGTGCTGGGCTTTATTAGATACTATTGTTCTTAAATGGATATTAAGAATTTTATCATGCAGAGAAACTCCAAGCATAGCCCTATCCATAGTTGACCGAGCGACTTAGTGCTTTGTCGCACAGCCTGCAGTGAATGCCTATTGTGTTTCCATACATGTTTCACTGGGAAGAAGTGTGGGATTTGTATTTTTTTTATAAAATGGGAGTGACAAATGAGCACATAATCCACCTGATAGTCAGTGGATGCGGTGGCCTAAAGACATCTACATTTATGAGGATAAATGTAGATTGAGGGATTAAGAATTAAAACACATATGCATTGTCACCCCTGAGGACTAAGATGTAATCCCTCATTTCATGTAAATAGAGTCTCCGGTTCTCTACACTCACCATATGAAATATTTTCATTGTTTGTATCTCAAATCTATATATTAATAAATCTGCAGAATAGTCATGTCTGTAATTCTAATATTTTCTGGAACAAGTCCAGGGGACTAAATAAAGGGCGCTGAAGCTTGAATATTTGTTTGTCTGTCTGTCATTCAAGTAATTCATGATTCACGCAAAAGCTATTGAACAGATTTCCATGAAATTTTGTGTGTAAGTAGTTAGGGACCCGGGGCTACTTATAGGCTACTTTTTATCTGATAACAGAACTTCAAAAAGGAGGGTTAAGTATTTTCCTTCCTTTAGATGTTAATTTCTATTTTATATGATTGATGTGTTTTATTGAAATAAATAAAATATTTATAAATAAAGCCCAAAATTAGTTTTAATCGAACAGTTGCGTAATTAATCGAATCACACCGACAATCTACGATATTATTGTTGTATTCACTTTTTTAAGACAGTGCCATCTATTGTAAAATACAAAAAATAGTGACATTTTGCCTCCAGTTATGTACATTTTTTAGTTATTGTTATTTCATTTTATAAGCAAATTTTATAGTAAATAATTACAACTTAGTACATTAACAACTAAACACAACATCGCTATTTCCAGATATTATTGTTATATCGTAAAATAATTTTATTACATATCGCTAGCAGCGCTGATCGAGTATATTTGATAAAAGCAGAATTTTTAATAGATACTAGATCACTTTATGCCAAATTTATGTATTATATAAATGTTAGCGGCTTTGTTGTGCGATAGAGCCAGTCCAGTCGCACCTCAAATTAACGTAAATTTTGTAATAGGTACGTAAGCAACACAAATCATATCCGCGATGACTGCACTCATATTTTAACTGCGATTTGAAGTTCACTTTCTCGGTAGTGAAGAAAAACATCTCAAGGAAACCTGCATATCTGAGAAGTAAAAAGATATTTCGGAAATCATTTTTAGGTATAGGTATGTGAGGTTGAACATCCCGCGTTGGAGTCAAATTAATCAACTCCTTTTTGACCTTAAACTCGCTGTGGCCTGTGACCAGTTTTATTTAGTCAGCTACTTTTTTACTTTTAGTAGGGCTATTCATATCATAGGCTGCCCTCATTGTTTGTCAAACAGACCGGGTATTTGCAGTAGTATTCACGCTTGGCAAGCGGGTTGGCAACTGCAGCTCTTTATTCCTTTGCACTGTTATCAAGAAGATGCTACCCATCCCCTGTTTCAGTTTGCCTCTGTAGCCTCTTAAGACACCTACGGGACGAAATGGGGTAGTGGTTTATTTTTCGCCGCTTCTACATGGCTAATATATTAATTCTACTTCTGTTCAACAATTAGATATCCTCCACAGGTTGCTAAATAAGTTTGATATTTGCCATAGTTGCCACGCTTGGCATACAAGTTGCCAACTGCATATTTTTATTATTTTGGACTATGATCAGGAAGATATCTACTCCTGTTCACGAATTTAGTTCTTCTCACACATTCACCGTGAATAGAAAAATATATTTATAAAATTTTGAAGTCTACTTGAATGTAAAAAAAATTACTGTTATGTTGTGCTAATTGGAACCAATATATAACCAATACAAAGTCCATGAAATTACACCTTATTTTATCAAAACTATATCATCTTTAATAATAAATATTATGTAAATAACACATTTCCGATTCCAGGACATTTTTACCTTGATAACGACACATCAGAAGACATGCCCAATATAAAAATGGTGTTGCTTGCCGTATGATATTTATGCGATTGTGATAAACTAAGTTATTTGTTTCTGTAGCCTATAATATTGCCAATATAGACATAGATACCGACGTGTCTCTACAAGTGATCCAGTTTCGCTAACTTTAGTATGAAATAGTATTAACTGTTTTAAAATTAAATTCCACGCGAGCGAAGCTGAGGGTAAAAATCTAGTAATAATAATAATAGCCTTTTATTCCTAAACATAGGGTTACGGAGGTCCCTAAGTTCGGTGTGCCTTTTGGCATAGACCTCCTCTAATTCCTTCCAATGGTTCCTGTCCCTTGCTACTCTCAGCCAGAATGGTCCCGCAGTCTGCTTCAAGTCGTCTTCCCATCTCCTGACTTGCGACGACCCCTGCCTCTTTGGCCTCTTGGTTGCCAGAGAGTGACTTGCTTGCTCCATTTGTTAATGTGGTGGCGTAGCAAATGTCCAGCCCATCTTCATTTTTGGATGTCTATCCGGGTAAGAATGTCTGTGAGTTTTGTTCTTGTTCTAATTCCTGACTCTGTCTTTGATTTTTACCCTAGCATGCTTCTTTCCATGGCAGGTTGGTATTTTGTAAGCCTTTCCCTATGGTGAAGTGTTGTTGACCAAGTTTCACAGCCATAATTAAGAACTGGTAGAATGCAGGTTTCGAATGTTTTCTTTTTTATGTGATTGCCTAGATCCTTACTTTTCACTATTTCCTTCAGTGATCAGTATTTTCTCCATCCTTGGGCTATTCGCCTGTTTATTTCCCTTGTCATTTCATCTGAAGGGGTATTATCTGTCCTAAGTAAATATATTCTTTGACATATTCGATCTTGTTGCCATCTACCATTATGTCTATTTCCCTTGAGTTTGATATTAATTTTGTTTTACTGGCATATATTTCCAGACCAACTTCCCTACTTATATTTGCTAGGCTCTGCATCATTTGTTCTATTGCTGCTGGATTTTCTTCAAGAAGCACCAGATCATCTGCAAATATTAGATGGTTTAGGCGAGCTCCATTAATGTTCAGGCCTAGGTGGTCCCAGTTTAGCTGTCTAAAGATGTGCTCGAGTACGGCGTTAAATAGTGCAGGGGAGAGAGGATCGCCTTGGCGCACGCCCTTTTTGATAGGAAATGGTTCTCCTGTTGATTCAAGTTTAATACTGCCTTGCTAGATTTGTATATACTCTTAGGTATTTCTATATAGTTGCTCTGGACCCCTTGTCGTTCAAGGCTCCGCCATATGTATTGGTGCCTGAGGCTGTCGAATGCCTTTGAGTAATCTATAAACGCCAGGTAGATTTGTTTATTGTATTCGTTATACTTCTGTATCAACTTTTTTATTGTGTGAATGTGATCTATTGTGCTGAAGTCTTTTCTGAATCCTGCCTGCTCTACGGGTTGGCTTTCGTTGAGTGTTAATGATGTTCTTTCCAGGATCACTTTAGCAAATACTTTATATATATTTGATATAAGAGAAATTGGCCTATAGTTCCAAATCTCGTCTCTATGGCCTTTTTTATGTAGTAGAATTATGTGACACTTGGTCCATTCTTCTGGAATTTGCCTTGTTTGTAAGATTTCATTAAAAAGTTTTGCCAGTATGGGACTGATTTCCTCTAAGGATCCCCTGAGCATTTCATTAGGTATCTTGTCCGGCCCTGGGGCTCTCTCGAGTTTTTGGGATTTTATTGCCTTGATTACTTCTGATGTAAGGATTTCTGGCACTTCATCTACTTTGTTTTCTTTTACTTCGTTTACTTCCGGAATTGTGGCCATCCCTGAATCGAAATTATAAGTATATAAATAAATTCTAAACTGTTGTCTAATGCACAAAGTAATCTCTACATTACACATTACTTTGTGCATTTGGTGTGCACCGGCTTTGAACATATTGAAAGTGTAGCGGCGCTGTCGTCGCGCCACTAGCACACCGAAACACACCGAAGTCTAAATCACGCTATCAACATTCCGAATCATGAACAGTATATATAGAACATCTCCGAACTATTACATGGAGTGTCGGCCGCTCCCCAGGCAGAACACCTTGCCCGGCGGGAGATCTCCCCTTTTCCTACCACGGCCACAGAAAGTATTAGAATTTGCTTTTAATATAAATATGCCGACTGTTTGTTGCAGGTATCATTCACATCCTGGTTTTGGTTGCTGGTTATCAGGAGTAGATATTAATACTCAGCAGTCATTTGAAGCACTCTCAGAACGTGCAGTAGCTGTTGTCGTTGACCCCATACAATCTGTAAAAGGCAAAGTGGTCATTGATGCATTCCGTCTTATCAATCCAAACATGATGGTTCTTGGGCAGGAGCCAAGACAAACCACCTCGAATTTGGGGCACCTTCAAAAGCCCTCAGTACAAGCTCTTATTCATGGCCTCAATCGCCACTATTACTCAATTAGCATTAATTACAGAAAAAATGAGTTGGAACAAAAAATGTTGTTAAATCTCCACAAAAAATCATGGATGGACGGTCTCACTTTATTAGACTACAAAGAGCACTGCTGTCAATGAGACTACTGTAACAGAGATGTTGGAGCTTGCCAAAAACTATAACAAAGCTTTGGAAGACGAAGAGAAGATGACTCCTGAACAACTTGCTATCAAGAATGTTGGCAAACAAGATCCCAAGAGGCATTTAGAGGAGAAAGTTGATGTACTTATGTCAAACAATATTGTACAGAATCTAGGAGCAATGCTGGACACCATGGTGTTCAAATGATAATTGTGTGAGACTTTTATATAAAGTGCTTAGGTAATACATAATTGAAGTGGAAAGTAAATACGTTCAGTCTCACTGTTAATCTTTAACCTAGAATATTTTATGTCAGTGTACATTATAGTGTATTACTTATGTATTAATGTCTCGTTTACATGCTGCAAAATAAAACAATACATTTTTTTAATTTTATTTTTCTATTATTTCACAAAAAAGGTTTTTGTGGAGCTATTTGTCTACATATATTACTTAACCTGTTTTGAACTGTAGTGTAATGATCCAAGTTAGCAAAATTTATATCAAACATTGGCTTGAGGTTCTGTTGTGTGTCTATTATCCTGTGGATTATCTTCTTCATTTTTTTGAATGCAACTTCAGGATTATCCATTGTTATCTGTATTGAAGATAAATCGTTATAGATAAACATAAAGTAAGTAACCTTCTGGTGAATAAGAAAAAGAAAAATTTCGTTTACGTTGGACGAAAATAGAAAATATCCATACCGGCGACGGGCAGTAATGTTAAAGAACATTAGTCATAAACATTTAGCAAATTAGAAAAAATCCTTAGTGACAGCACCCAATCAGTTTTTATTGATTTTTTATCATTGAAGTAATATGTACTTACGTACTAGAACAGCTATTTCAAACAAAACATGTGCGCTACTCTGTGTTCGCGCGGTTGGTTTTTTTATCATAGAATAAACATAGGTAGAATGATCAGTAGGTAATAATAGATTGTATTGTTAAATAGGTAAATTATATCGAAAACAATTTTTAATTTTTTTTATTTATTTTGTATATTATATTTGCTTATTTAATATTATATTACATAATATTATATCACAATTACATTTTAATGATATTTTTATCTGAATATTTTAAAAGGTATCTATGTCAGATATAAAAAACATACTAAATGTATGTTTAACAAAACTTATTAATATAAAATTTAAATTACAAATATATTTATTTAAATTAGAATAAGAGTCGTTCATAAATGCTGGGCACGCGTGAGTTAAAAATGGACGAATTAATTCCACTTTGACTTAATATAAAAGAATAACGAGCAGATTTAAATATAAAAAATTGGCCCAATTATGATAACTCATATATGTTTCTACAAAAAAAATTGTGTATAATAATATATTCGTCTATACTTAAGTACCCACAGAAATGTCGCATCTGAACAAATTAATTCCATAATCTATATTACATGACACAAGATGGCGTCTTAGGAATAACTTGTTTTATTATTAATTTATAATACTTTTTTATTCATTAAGTATCTTATTAACCGATGAAAAGTAATACCTTGATTATTACTGACATTGCTTGAATTATTTGCGCAATATCTAAGTATACACGACGGCATATTTTTATCAAGAGATTTTTTTTTAATCAACACAACACGTGACAACCCTACAAGCGCCTAGCGACTGACTGATTAAAGTGCGGTGCATGCACCGCAGTTGAGTGGAACAGAGTAGCTGAATGCAGTGTCGCCTCTAGTACGTAGTACATAATAGTTCAATGTTTTTTATAAATTTTGTCCTTAGAATCAGCACTCAATTGACAACACTAAAACGACCGAAAAACGGAGGAATATACTTTATAACTTTGTTTTTATTTACTTCTATTGACAAAGTATATTTATACAGTGCAACCTCGATACAACGAAACTGAAGGGAATTCTATATTCGTTATACCAAGTAATTCGTAAAAAAAGAGGTTTGTTATATATAGATGTTATGTGAGACTACAATTAATTTTAACAAGATCTTACAAGGTTTAACGTGTCTGTCAAGACATGATTTACTGTGAAATTAAGTGGGAATAAATAATAGGATTACGATACGATGTGTCAAGGTTCCAAGTTGAAAAAATTCGTTAGAGGTAAATAATATCTTCTATTTATGTTCTGCAATGATTAAAAATTCGTTATGTCATTGAGTTATACATAACTAGAGGAGCGAACCACATTACCGCGCGTTGAAAAAAGTGTAACCACTTACTCCACATAGCTTTGAAATTTCTAAATATTTTAAATAAACATATATCTGTCTCATTGAATTAAACTAAATTTACGGATTCTATCGCATTTATTTAACTGATTTATCAGTTCAGTAAATACTCCAGTGGTAGTGTTCGCTTAAATTTAAGAAATCATTATATATCTGTCTCACTTGCACAAGTTGCGAAAACAATACCGTCGCATAAAGAAGAACACAAACATGCAATGTCGGGTTGGTGTGTCTTACTTTATGAAATTTTACCCAAAATAGGCAATAAAAAGGAGTATTTTTAAGCTGCAGTACATTTTTTTGAAGTGTATTTTCTTATAAGATGAATAGGAAGTAAGCATAACTGATTAAATAAAACATATTTTTTTTTAAAGTATTTGAGCAGATTTCAAAAAAAAATGACCACAGGAAAACTGCGCTGTCCACTTACTTTTTCAATAGTTATGGAATCAAGTTTTTTGTTTTTGTCGGTAACAATTTGGATAGAAAACATATAAAGGTTACTTTGAAATTTAAAAAAACTTAATAAACCTGCAAAATATTGCTACAAAGTAAACATTTATGTGCACGAAACCATTAATTTAACATGTCCACCTTGCCAACAAAAAGATCTGATTTAGAAAAATCTTTGTTAAAACAGTACATATATTCGACAGTTATATTGCAAACTATATTCAAGAGCATAAAATTAATGCATGTTTTAGAGTTTTGTAAAAGAAATAAAATAGATTATTCATTTTAATTGTTGTCTTCTAAAACAAGGTTGGCGGAAATTTCCTTTACGTAACGCGTGTAACAGGTACTTACAAAGTGAAAATATATTAAATTTTTAGATTTTTGCACTTCTAGTAACATTTTTAAAGTAAACGTTAAACAAAATTTGAACGCCTTACTGTCAATTTGACGTAATTCGTTACGAAACGCTGTGGTGGTTGTGTGTGATAAAATTTTGTTCCATTACAAATTCGTGTTTTCTGAGGTAAGATGGTTGCTATGTTTTGGTTTTTCCTTAATTTTCTCTCACAACAGTATAATGTTGATAATTTGTAACACGAAAGCCTTACTATTTATTAATTTTTATTTAAAAATGATAGATTTCAATTTCAAGCTCACTTTTTGTAACATCAATTACGTAACGTTATGTATTAGCGGAACTAATTTTATTTCGTAACGGAATTATAAGGACATGTCTAGCTTTGAAATATAGTAAGTCTGTATATATCTGCAGCTACAAAATATGTTTTTTTCATCTTTCAGATACTTTCAAAAGTTATTTTTTAAACCCTACCTACAAAATAAAATGCCTCTCACAGGGTCCAAACGGGCAAAACGATTCCGAGAAAATTTGAAAAAAGATCAAAAAGTATGAAGTATACAAGAAAAAAGAATAAGAACGAGTAAAAATGTCGAAAAAAGATAAATGAGCTCAGAGAAGAAGAAAAACAGAAAAAAAGAAGATACTAGTGAAATCAAAACAGCAGAAAAGAAAAGAAAATATCTTCTGAAGAATGAAAACAAGAAAGTAAGACTTCTGAAACAAGAGATATTAAAATTAATAATCGTTTGAAGAAGACAATACGTTTTCGTAATAAAAAATCAAGAAAGATTAAACTTACTAGTAGGACGTTTGAGAAAACAAATTCAAAGAAGTAAACAAAATCTGCACAAAGAAGTAAACAAAAATGAAGAATTAGAAGAAGAAAATAAGAAAATTAAAAAGGCGCTTCAAATGACCTATAAGGACAACAAGACTCAAAAAGGCAAGAGATTGTTAAAATGAGTGATTTGCAATTTTTTAAAAATAACTGGTCAAAATAGAAATTACGGTAAAATTTTAAGGTTTGAAAAGCAGAATAAAATTTTCTTTTAAGCGGCGTTTATTAAATACTAAAGTAAAAGAAGAAATGGAAATATTTTATCTGAGAGATTATAACAAGGTGTATTGCAGGAAAAAGAGAGTATTTTTTTTATAGAGGAGGGGGCAAATGAGCATGCGGCTCACCTGATATTAAGTGATTACCGCCGCCCATGATCAACCGCAACACCAGGGGAATTGCAGGTGCGTTGCCGGCCTTTTAGAAAGGAGTAAGCTCTTTTCTTGAAGGTCTCCAGGTCGTATCGGTCCGGAAAAATCGCCGGTGGTAAACTATTCCACAGAGAGGTCGTACGCGGAAGAAGACTCCTTGTGAAACTTACAGTAGTGGACCGGCAAACATCCAGATGGTGCGGATGGTACCGGGACGTTTGCCGACGTTTGTTTATAGTTAATAGGTTTTATAATCCGAGCTGTTCTTAAAGGAGCCTCTAAGTTGTATCAGACACATAACAGTCTAATGCAGTTATGTACAGCATCATTATTTTCTTTATCAGTCGTCTTGACAAGGCCTATACATACTATTTTTTTTATAGAAGAGGGGGCAAACGAGCATGCGGCTCACCTGATGTTAAGTGACTACCGCCGCCCATGATCAAACGCAACACCAGGGGAATTGCAGGTGCTTTGCCGGCCCTTTAGAAAGGAGTAGGCTCTTTTCTTGAAGGTCCCCAGGTCGTATCGGTCTGGAAATCGCCGGTGGTAAACTATTCCACAGAGAGGTCGTATGCGGAAGAAGACTCCTTGTGAAACTTACAGTAGTGGACCGCCAAGCATCCAGATGGTGTGGATGGTATCGGGACGTTTTCCGCGTAGTGCGTTCACGAAATTTGGCGGCTAGGATTAATCTGAACAATTCCTCAGAGCACTCCCCACGGTATATGCGAAAGAAAATGCGAAGAGGTGCAACATCTCTTCGCAGCGCCAGTGAATCGAGCCGCTCGGAAAGCACTCGGTCGTCGACGATTCGAGCCGCTCTGCGCTGGATGTGTAAGATAAAAGTAAAAACAAAACTGCAAATAAGGTATTTGGTTGACACAATTTGTAATCTTTATAAAATTTACAAACAGGAAGGCGGTAGGTAATTTAGTTACATTTACACAGTTAAGTATAAATTTTATAGATACAAACCTTTTATGTTTTATCACTAAGTACAGTAAGGGAAACTTGTTTATGATCCAAAGATAGTCAATTATTTTTTTTATAGATTGTATAAAAGTTAATAAAATTTTCTCTTATAAAAAGATATTGACGATATTCTCAAAATATTTAAATAATAGTAATTAGGTATTATTTTAGTACTTATGGAAAAAAGGTGTATATGTGCTTACACCCTAAGCAGTTCCTTTTCATAACACATTATTCCATTATTGTAACTGTCCCACAGTTATTAGTTTAAATTTTTACGTTTATCTTACAAATATTGATGATCTAAGTGCTTTTAAAAGTTTAATAGTGTTTATTTTTTTATTATTTTATTTCGTTAATAGAGTTTGATATTAAACTTGTTTCAAATATAGTAATGGAGCTTTACACAGTAGATTATCTGAATTTCTACGAAAATTTTTATATTAAGTTTAGTTTTTAAAAAAGATTTTTCTCTCATCATCATCATTCATCATCATTACAGCCCTTCACAAGTCCACTGCTGAACATAGGCCTCCCCCAAGTAATGCCACAAAGCACGGTCCTGAGCCACCTGCATCCATCGATTTCCTGCATGTCTTACCAGGTCGTCACTCCATCTAGTGGGGGGTCGCCCTACACTACGCCTACCGGTACGAGGCTGCCACTCGAGAACCTTTCTTCCCCATTCCCCATTTTTATTTTTCTCCGATTTAACTCAAACAATAAAAGTTATGTGAATAATAATAGTTTTATTTTATTTAAACGCTAATTAAAAAAGTTACGAAACTGAGTAAATATTGTAGTATACGGTCCCTTAAAATGGATTTTTAATGAATAGTATTAAAAAGATTCTTAATACTTTTGCATTATAGGACAATTTATTAAATTTACCATCGAAATATCCGCATTTAAGTCCATTTCGATTTATGAAAAATATTAGGTTCCGCTTACGTAACGTGTCATTTTATTTGAAATCCGCTCGTTTGTTATTTATGGTACTAATAATACAAACAGTATAGATAAAATATATTTAAAATATATCATGAATAAACTAAAATAAGAATAATTAATTATTTTGTATGAAAGTTAAAACTTAGTTTTTATTATAATTTCCAAAATATTTAAAATCAGAGGTAACAAAATAACTTACTCCATTAATTATATAGTCTATTAATGTGGGATAATCACAAAGGCGGAAAAGTGGCAACATTGAACCTAAATCGTAATATTCAATAATTTCATTTATTTATTTGAGGTTTTTACGTTTATATGAAAACATGAACTCAAACTTATGAGTGGAAAATGATTCTTATTCTTAAGGATTGTTTCTTAATGGTTTCTAAATGAAATTGTTACTTAATGGTTTTTATGACCTTGAACCGCATTCTTTCAATACGCATTTACCCATTTTGTGTCTCGGCTCAACTCTGTCGGCGTCACATTGAACACTGAATCAGTTCAGCTATGCCAGTTACCTAGGCATATGGTTGTGGCCATATGTGCAGTGGCAACGCTTTGGCGCGGTAATTACTAATCTAGTGTAACATATACATCAATGTTATAAGTAGGTTTTTGATAAATGTATTCGTAATGTTGAAAAAAGTCGTTAAATCGAGGAATTCGTTATATTAAGGTTACACTGTACTTATCTTTTTATCAGTTTAGAATATGATTTACTATCATCATCATCATGGCAGCCTATCAAAAGCCCACACCTCACTCACAGCCTCATAGATTATCTCGCAGGTGGATTTTTGCCATCGTTGACACGCTTGACAGACGAGTTTATTATTTCGTGTTGATACCAGGAAGATGCTGCTAAACACCTTCTAAATCATTTCTCCTTCTGTCGCATTATGACATCCGTGGGGTGATAATAAGGGGTAGTGCGTTCTTCTATTTTGTAAAATTCAATCCTACTTTAAGTGACTGCCTTGTGCGCATCCTTAAAGCAATGAGTATTTATCGTAATCGCCACGCTTTGCACCGAGTTGACGACTCGACTGCAGTATCAAACGTCTTGCTACATCGGCGATCTGGATATTTTACTCTGGTTCACATACTCGTTTGTAATATATATATATATTTACGATTTTGACTGTTCAAACGATGCTAGAGATAATTTATATATTTGTATTATGAATTATCTCTAGCATCGTTTGAACAATCAAAGTCATAAATGCCTTTGTTTCGTAGAGGCGCATCACCTGCACATCGTGCGTCGATTGAGATGTTTCTTGAAACCAGTGGTTTGGTTTCACTTATAGAACGTAAATTCAATGAAAAATAAAACATTTTTTTAGTAAAATCTCAATTTTTCCTTAATTCCTAAAGGAGACGGGCGAAAGTTCATAGAAAGCTGGGCCTGATGTTACAGTAACGATAACTGCATTATTTTATTTATATACCAATACCATTTTAAAAAAACTAAAATGTTTACAACTGCTTCATGGGAGAAAAAAATATAGGATGTTATTGGTTTGTATAAAAACAATGTTATTGCTTATGTTATGCTTACAATGTTATTCTTACACCAAGCTCTCACATTACACTTTAAGAAAATAATTATTAGACTTTATTGCAAAGTAGACTTTACCATATTATTATGTATTGGAGTACATTCATATGTAGAAGATTCAGACGCCGCCGTCCAACTAAATTCTAGAGGTTTGAAATAATTATAAAAAAGCAGAGGGTGTATGAATTAAAAACACTTTCTCTTTTAATGATTTATTAATTCCACTTCATCATAAACAAATAAAATATCGTCTAAAAACGATGCATGCGGTATTAAATTCTTTTGATGCCTTGCCCAGCTTAGGTACCATATTATGGACATAACATGACAACAGCAACCTATAGTTTTTTTCCTACTTAGCTATTAAAATGATACTGTTAGATGGCCTGTCTACCATTTAAGATAACTGTCAACTAAAATATATGTAAAAAATGTTTTTGAGCTTAAGTATCTCTCGATTTTATTCGACCTCTTAATAGCCAGCTAGAATGGTTGAATATTGACAGTTCTCTTAGTAGGTTGCTGTCCGTTTCTCGACACACTTCTATTTCATATCTTCAATCTTGTCGTATGTGTTTTCCATAATGGGACCTAGCCTACTTAATTTGATAAATACCTAAAGATATTTTTATTAAATCACTATGTGTGAGCTGGGGAAAATCATTTAAGTTATCATTTATTCTTGTAAAATCAGAAAATTAATCGTCAGAATTCTTTATACGTAGCCAGCGTCGTTAAAGATCAGAATATTATTACAGCACACAAAAACAACAGAAAATATTTACTACCACCGCAAGCTCAGAGCCAAACAAACGTAACAAACAAATGATTTGTTGATTGACGTTTGAGTTTTTGAACTAACGTTGACATTTCCGCTTTGTGGCCTGTATAAGATATCGATAATCGATTATGAAATCGATTTATTAATCTATTCAGTCAATTTATTCTTACGACTTTTTTGAAACGTTGAAGTGTCACAAGGAAACCATTATTCAAATAATAAGTTTCTTAAACTTACCTAAAGAAGAAAAGACTGAATCACTTTTTATTGTCTTTTTTTCTAGTTTTGTATTAAAATCGATTAAATAACCTATTTCATCTGGCAGTATTGTTTAAAAATGAACATAAGGGAAGTCAGTATTATTTTTATTAAATATTTAACTTCTTTTGCCATGATAAAACAGTTTAATATTTCATTATTAACTACAAAAAAACTGTAAAAAAATATTGATAAATATTTCACTTGTGTACCCAAATTCGCCCGTCTCCTTTTTGCCTGTCCTAAGCCGGGATGAAAGTATGAAAGAAAAGTTACATCACAGGTTATGTGTACCTATTGTGTTTTTATTGACAATTTGTGTAGGTAGCTAGCGCGGGCGGTGATCTTTACAGTGATTACGTCACTCGGGCGCATAGGGTATCCATGAATTCACGGACGGTGTCGGGCAGAAACTTTTTAAATTTTATGAAAGAAACTAGCGTTTTTCTTTTTTAAATTTGGATAAATATTTTTATATTAGAGCCAACTACCTATGGTTTTAGTGTTTACACTTACCCCTTGTATATATATATAAAGTATCCTGGAATCCCGTTTTTTGTGCAATTGCAATGATAAGTGAATTTACGTCGGCTGATACAGTTTATGGAAATATACTTAGAGTTACAGATGCATTTTCACCTATAAGGATTTAAATATTGTAATTATACTGGTTGTTTATGCCCTTAAGGCCGGAACATAGTACTTAGTGTAAGCACTGGTATTTAGCGGCAGTAATGGTGACTTACCCAGACGGACTCCTAAGTAAAAAAAAGAAGTCCTGCCACGTAGAAAGCAAAATACCTTTTTAAAATTGGCGTTAAGGTAAAGCTTAAGAGGAACGGACGCTAGATAATAATCTAATCTAATCGAGGAAAAGAACTAATATACACATAGTATAGTGGTCGCTTACTGTGTCCCAGAACAAGCCAGGGATTTTGCGATGTATGTCTTCATAATCGTCCCTTAAGTTAGTTGTAGTGGATTCTGTACGAACCTGTCGTTGATATAAAAAGTGTTTAAGCCTTAAAATTATCTATTATTATTAGTTATTATAGGGTTTGGTTGAATTTAATTAAAAACAATTACCTCATGATGTTCTATCTGTTTTACTATAAACTCCAACTCATCACCCTTGGAGTCGTGGTGCATTGTTGAATCAGCTGTAAATAGTTGATATAATTTTACTATTTAATTATTTTAGGATTTTGCTCTTCAACTGACACAATTAATTCAACCTTGAGCGTTTCGATGAAATGTTTTTTAGTTAAGTATTTATCAATACAAGTAAGAGATGATTGATCAGCCAGTACACCTGACGGTAAGTGGATGCTGTGCTTCATGGACTGTCGTTTGAGAATAGTATACCTGTTCCTTTCCTGCTCCGATTACTAAAACAATTTTTTTAAGAACTTTACCTTCAAACTAGGATTTTCTCCTGGTCAGGTTACATACATGAATTTCACCAGGACAAACATTCTCCACCCATTAATAAGAGTGCTTCATTCGTTAATAACAGTCCTGAGCTCTTCTTCTGTGCACTTCCATTCGAAACGAGTGTTATATTGCTATTTTGGATTGGTATGCTGTGAGACCGTGGTCCTCCACGGTCGAGTCAACTCAGTTACGTTGCAACTATAAGAGTATAAGAGAACTGCAGCGTGGTTCTACCACGTCATCATACTTTAATAAACAAAGTCTTTGTTCTTGATTTAAAAAAGTAATTCGCAACCATCCGCTTAATTAAATAGAATGGTGTATCTTACCTGGATTGAAGAGCACCTCCCGCCCTCCCTCAATTGCGTGCACTAATCCCGTCACCACTAGTCCCAACACCACTGATGGTGTTGCGATGGGCTCATCTGCATCTCCCAATGTCTCCCACATATTCATGGAAGACTTATTCTCCCGTAAATCCAATATTCTACAAGCGGTACGTAGACGACACTTTCAGTTCTACATTTAAAGTAATTCCATTTTAGACCATCTTAACTCCATAAATTCTAAAATTCAGTTCACAGTGAAGTTAGAGGCAAACAATTCTTTAGCTTTTCTAGATGTGTTAGTAATTCGGAATCCTGGTAATACCTTGAGCCACACTGTGTATAAAAAGAGCATATTTCGGAAAGAAACATTTTTCTAGCATTTTAATTTTCACTAATATATGTCAAACATTTCACCTCATTCCAAATCCAAAGTGGCCATAATGTTAGATGCCCTCATTATCGCTGCTTTTTAAGCTATTGCATAGCTTCTATCGCGGACCTTGAGCGCGGGGACCGAATTCAGAAATTCCGTAACGAAAAAAAACCTCACGCTCCCCACTCCGACGGGCACGGAGGTGTGGCGTTGAAAGCCGTGCATCGTCTAACGTCGTTTCAGTTCGGCAGACTTCGGCACTCGGCAGACTTCGGCACGGTGTTTGTGTGCGTGCGACTAGACGTATGCGTGTACACTAGCTGCTAACTCAATGATAAAAATTCCTGAATAACCTACATGTATTGTAAGATATTAAAAATATTTTAAACAATATTAACTTCTCATTTATTCAATAAGAGAAAAAAAATTGTTTTCTTATCGGCCACCACGCTCATAAAGTGTAACTTGATTTAATATCAAAGACTTAACTGCATAAATAAAATAAATAAATAATTATAATTGCATAAGTTGATAAAAAATGCTATGCAATAGCTTTACCGCGGCAGTCACCGAGTGCCACACGTTTTTTTTTTGTTTTTTAATTATGTAAAGAACGTCAACACAGGTCGGGTTTCTGATTCATTTCGATCTTTTTCAAGAAATTCAGTAACTTTTGGATCGATATACATAATTATTTTTATAATTCATTACATTTTTTTTACAAATATATCTATACTTACAATTCCAGTCAATGTGTGATGTGATATAAATCAAACGTGTGACGTTACATATTGATGCAGACTCAACGATACAATATGTACTTATTATACATACAAGATTAATTATATATAATATGTATAGAATGTTTCTGTAAAATTAGGCTTGTGTTATTTTATAGGATTTCGTTTTTTCGATTATATCTATATCTATAATTATTTTTTTAACTTACACGGTTCTATGGCTATTTCACTTGCTTGGAGCAACCCGGCATCAGTAAGGAAAGCAAGCCAAATATCAGAATCATGAGCATCCGTGCCAAAATTTAAATGCGGATACAGTTTCGTACTAATAGACTGGCCGGTTTTCACGTGTACTGCTGCAAAGAAAGATTTATTTATTTCAATTAATTAATCGTGTGGTGGCGGTGTTAGAATATCCACTACCCCATATTGTTCCGTGGGTGTAGTAAGAGGTGACAGAGGAAAATAAACCAGGTATCTGGCAGCAAGGTCTTATAAATAACAAATAAAAAAATATAAATTCAAAAAGAAGTTTTCACTTCAAAAAAGCAGAGGTTGCCAACCCGCCTGCAAAGACTGCAAACTTTCTAATCACCTTTCAAGAATCTAATGACAGACTAATATGTTTACGGCGGTGAATCTTAGTCCCAACTTGTTCCTTGTTTTAATTTAACCCTTTTGCTGTGCCTTGTATTACATATAATGCATTACTATTGTTTTACTATTGTGTCTGAAAATCAGACAGTGAATGTGTTAAATTATTAACATTTTTATCGTTATCGGGGGAAAGAGGAAGTCTTCTTGCGGAACGGTACCTGTGCTCCGATATTCTTTGAAAGTAGCAGCAGTTTCTGTGAAAATAATTCTTATACTAGAGATTATGTAGGACCAAGAACATGTCACTTGGTAAATTATTTGGTTCCATCGTAGTCCAGTTTATAAGACATTGGGAGGCAACTTCATAAGCAGTGAGTGGTGATTGAATTAATCTTTCATAGTAGGATACCCCTCAAGATCAAGATTAAAAGTAAAGGATGCGAAAATATTGTTGCACATTGTACAATATGTTATGAATGAATAGTAGATTGCGATATATAGAAAAAAAATATTTTGTATGATTCCTTGCGATATCTTTCTATAAGTAGTTTAAAGTTTAATCTATATACTTCTCGTGCGGTTATAGAATGGGATTGAAAATGGCGTCACCTACATTCACCTCTTGCTCGCACACTGTCCGTATCTATACTCACACCCGCCGGTAAAGACTACAAAAAAATACGTTGCTAATTCGTAAGCTTCACGCGTTCTGAGAGTTTTTTCATAATTATTGTTGATTTTGTTTGTTAATGTTTTTGTATAAAATATTTACATGCCCTTGCAACCATTTTTAAAATTTTCCTTTATCTATCTGTCTGTCCGAGCTAATTTTCGGAATGGCTGAACCAATTATAATAAAACCTCACCAACCGGAAGTTATCTAGACTAAATTTTATCCCCAAAATTTAGAGATTTTATTAAAATAGAAATATTTTAATGATTATTTTAAGTCTAAATAAATACGTTACTAGATCCCACGCAGGCGAAACTAGAGCGAGTCGCTAATTACGTTATTTTAAAATTAACATACCTATTGCGTATACAATTATTTTCAAATATTTGGCCATTAATATAAAATTTACAATTAACCGATTAATATAGCGTTATATCGTTATACCGTTATCAGCGGGTTTTCGCATTAGTACTGTTCATGTTGGCGGTACGGGTTCGGTGAGTCGCCATTTATAATCCTGTTCTTTATTTGTACGGAATGAATATAAAAGAAAATGTTCTGATCCTGAGTGACTGACATATGTCTACGCACAGTCCAAGGCGCTAGACGTAGAAATCATATTTAATTTTTAACATCGACCTAACAAATTATCCGATTTTCTGATATGAATCAACGAATTGTTTTTTCAGTTCTATAATTTTGCTATGGCCTTACAAATTACTAATCGTAGTTATAAAAATATCTATTATAACAAGTACCGTCTTTGTCGTTTGGCGATTCAACAAGTAGTCCAGAAGCATCACTTGAATGCTCAACTAATTTTACGTCTTGAGATGAGAACGCTACGGACTTTGATGATCTTCCATGCGCCACACGAATTCCTATTTCAAATATAATATGATATTAACGCAGCTGCGCAATCATAGTTTTATTGCGCAAATGAAAGTAAAAAAGTAAAGTTACAGCCTATTATACGTCCCACTGCTGGGCACAGGCCTCCCCTCATTTCTGAGAGGGTTTTAGGGCAAGGAAGTGTCCGCCGCGCTGCCCCAATGCGTGTTGGCGAACTTCACATGTCTTCGAAATATTTTTTTCTTATTCCTCAGAATGCAGATTTCTTCACGATGTTTTCCTTCACCGCCGAGCACGTGGTAACTAAGCAGTTAAAATTGCAATTAACAATTTCATTGGTGCCGGCGGGGATCGAACCCGGGTTACTCGAGTTCTGTTATATTTACAGCGAGCGTTAACCATCTGAGCTACCACGGCGCAAATGAATTAATATTTAAATATATAAATGTTTATGCAAATAATTAATTCAAATTATAACCACCAATCAAAAAGTTTTGCGTAACTAATAAAATCTATGGTTAAAGTTTTAAGCTATTGCATAGCTTCTATCGCGGGCCTTGAGCGCGGGGACCGAATCCAGAAAATCCATAACGAAAAAAACCTCACGCTCCCCACTCCGACGGGCACGGAGGTATGGCGTTGAAAACCGTGCATCGTCTAACGTCGTTTCAGTTCGGCAGACTTCGGCACTCGGCAGACTTCGGCACGGTGTTTGTGTGCGTGCGACTAGACGTATACGTGTACACTAGCTGCTAACTCAATGATAAAAATTCCTGAATAACCTACATGTATTGTAAGATATTAAAAATATTTTAAACAATATTAACTTCTCATTTATTCAATAAGAGAAAAAAAATTGTTTTCTTATCGGTCACCACTCTCAAAAAGTGTAACTTGATTTAATATCAAAGACTTAACTGCTTAAATAAAATAAATAAATAATTATAATTGCATAAGTTGATAAAAAATGCTATGCAATAGCTTTACCGCGCAGTCACCGAGTGCCACACGTATTTTTTTTATCACAAAATCTTTTCAAAGAACTCCATAAGCATCCATACAAAGCATTTTTAACAGAACCAATTTTCGAGACTTTAAGAGACACACAACCGTCAAAGGGTGACCACTTCCTTTTTCAGTTCTCAAAGTTAATTAACCGTGCTGAAATTTGCGGCCGTAAAAATTCACATCGTGAAAATATTTCCGACGCAGATCCATTCTTACTACGATATTTCCCTTCACATTTTATTAGCTAATCATAAAATGTGGAGGGAAATGCAAATCATTCGTATTTTTACTTGTTAATGGCCGGATTTTCAAAATTAATTGTTACTGGCCAGTGTTTTAAGCAAAAACTTTTTCGTAAACCTTTCTGTGTAGCCTATCGTATAATGAGGTCTTTACGTATCGAAACGTGTTAATTGAAATTAGAATTCTTAGGCAAACTAAAGCCATTTTGATTTGAAACGGCAATAATCATAGGTAAAGACCTATTATTTTTCATTAATTCATTAAATTGCGCGGCTAAGTTGACATCTGGCACTAGCGCCATCTAGTGTCGGGTAACAGAGCGAGGGGAGAGCTTTCCAGAAAATGACATCACTAATCTTTCAACCGACAGCACCATCTGTTGTCAAAATGAAGAACTAAGCTTCTGGAAGCTGACTGTATTTACTTGAATGTTCTGGATGATTCCGTACTAATGTGTATTTATAGGCGCTGCAAGGTGCGATCGGGGAAGTATTGAATTCGGCGAGACAAGCGAAGCTTCGGAGCGGAATAAAGTAAATCAGTGTGCTTAATTATTAGTGTTTTAAGTTTTAATTTGCGTAAAGAAAATTAAAGCGTTAATTTAGGTAATTCTATCGACAATTTTTATTGTCACGAACCTCAAGCTCGTAACAATTGGTGTCAGAATTGGGATTAAATCATGGCGTAAATTTAATCAGGAGGGTGTCCGTACCCGAAGTCAACGCCAGCAGAAGACGGACCAGAGGAGGTTTGGTGGTGCAACACCGCAGACGTCGGAGGGCCAACTGCCAGCCACGGAGGCTGCGGGCCCGTCAGTAGCTCCTACATCTGCAGCACCGGACAGGTGCTCTGATGGCGATGCTACAGGAGCAGCTGCAGCGCGGACGAGAGAAACAGGCCCGTTTGTTGAAAGAGCAGCAGGAGGAACAGGCTCGCCGACAGGAGGAACAGGCTCGCCGACAGGAGGAACAGGTTCGCCGACAGGAGGAACAGGCTCGCCGACAGGAGGAACAGGCTCGCTGACAGGAGGAACAGGCTCGCCGACAGGAGGAACAGGTCCGTCAGTTGAAAGAACAGCTGCAGAGCGGACAGGAGGAACAGGTCCCTCAGTTGAAAGAGCAGCTGCAGAGCAGACAAGAGGAACAGGTCCGCCGACAGGAGGAACAGATGCTCCTCATGAAGGACCTTCACGCTACCTTTGCGAAAGAGATAAGGGAGGTGAAGGATAGGGTTGCTCAACATGACAACCGCCTGTCGGAAGCTGAAACCCGAATCGAAGAACATGAAAGCCGAATCAACCATGTGAACAATCGGGTTGACAACGTGATGGCTGACGTGAAGAAAACGCTGAACGAGTAGCTACAACACCTTTGCTACGTGGATTCAAAGTGCCGCCGTTCGACGGGACTTCTTCCTGGTCGGCCTACAAAATCCAGTTCGAATAAAAGCCGCAGCTTTTGCGAATAAAAGCCAGGCCATGACTGCACTCACCTTAGACCTGCGCGACCAAGCCTTAACCGTGTTGGAAGCTCTCGGTACTAAAGTGACCTACGAGCAGCTCCTTGAGGCATTGGAGGCGAGATATGGTGACGCTCACCTGGAACTCGTCTTTCGCGCGCAGTTTAAAGAGCGCGTGCAACGCAGCAACGAAAACCTGCAGCAGTGGGCCCTTGAGGTGGAGAAGATGGTTCGAAAAGCATACCAGTCTGTACCTGCGCTCATTGAAGGGAACCTGGTGCAGACATTCATCGACGGCATCCGGGACCTGGAAGTCAGAGCTGCTGTGAGGCTCGGGCACCACGAGACGCTTAAGGACGCCTTGGCCCATGCAATTTTCAGCCCTTTCACGAAGGCGGTACCCTGACCAAAACCTTGCAAAAGTGCGTTTTTCAGAAACTATTACATCAAATAAGCTAAAAGCACATTATTAATGTTCGATATCCTATCACATTTCATGTTCTAATATGTTTTTATGTTTTATAA